GACAACTTTTGAGTGGCTGTTGGTTATTGTTGAATGCTCTGGGTTTGACCTCTCCTTCTCAAGCAGAATTCCTGTCCTTCAGAATATTCTATGCAGAGTTGAAGAAATTAAACAGGAAAAGACTTGTCTTCTGCAGAGGGTGAGGATTGGCTGACAGCCCTTGAGGAGCACAGTTACACTGCAGATGTTCCCACACAGCCAGTTCAGGTGCTGATATTTCTCTAGAAGTGCTGAGGAGCGTGGAGCAAGCGACTGCTCAGCTACTTACAGGAGTAGACTTGCCATGTTTCTGTAGTGCTATACCTAGTCTCTAAAGTCTACTTGGTATTCTAATGTGGTTTGAGCACTTGGCTGAGACATGGAAGGTGTAAAGACAATTTGTGTGCCTTTATTATATTTTTACTCTACTCCGTTTGATTATATGTAACTAGTAATTTTATCATTCTTTAGTGTAACTTTTAAACCAGGGAACAGCTGTTTTGACAAAAAAACCCCAAAAAACCAAAAAAAACCCCAGAAAAATCCACACTCAGGTAAACATTAAGTATAGCAACATACTAAAACCCCTCCACCACTCCATTAAGATTAAATTGACTGTTGCTGATATTGTTAAAACAGAAATGTGGTTTAGACTAGTTGGTGGAATTTCTAGCTCGTTATGCTGAAAGAGGCCAGTTGACTTTGGACAGTGGCAGAGAAGTTGGTTTCACACTTTTAAACCAGCTGACCTTTTGCTTTAATGTACAGCTGTGATTTTTATTTAATTTAATTTTTTTTCCTGATCAGAGAACATGTTTATCATATTTCTGTTCAAATTACAAATACTATGGTGTATTCTGATGTGGTGTCTTGTATTCATAGATTTAATTCCAAGCTGTTGGAGCAATCGACATTTACAGGTTTTTAGGTCTTTGTTTTTCAAAATTGATTATTGAAAGGAACATATGTGTTAATTTTGGGATGGATGATGTTTCATTTTTAAAATTAATTTTAAATTAATGGCAATTATTTTTTTAATTAAAGAAAACATACCTTGGATGCTGTTGCGTGCTCTAAAACTGTAACTACACTGCTTAGAAACTTCATGGTCTCTTACTATGCAGTAAATAATTAAACGGCTCGGAAATGATCATGTGTACTAATGCTTTTCTCAGTGTGATAGATAATAAACTAAATTTACAGTAGGTGTGAGTGTCAACAGGAGGTACTTGCTTTTCCAAGTTCTAAGAATATTCCTTGGTTGATCTCTTGCCTGCCAACAGAGAGCTTTTATGAGCACTGCGTATGGTAACTTAGTGGATTGGTTTTATTTCACCTAGTAGAAAATGTTCTATATTATGTTAAGAATTACAGTTATTCATCAGCTTAGTGGCATATAATATTTTTTTCTTGCAGTAAAATGGAAGCTTTCTCAGTAACTCTAAGTCTGTTTTATTAATTGGTTTCCTAGAAAAGACAAATTGAATTTTGATTGGAGTAGCATCTTTGAGCTAAATATTTAAGAAAGATTTAGAATGCAGTAGAGGATATAAATACAAGGTTTGTCTGATCTTACTGATGTTTACTTTCGCTTCTTCCCCTTTTCCAATTCTGTGCTCCAGTGACTGAAGTCCCTGGGCTACTTGTGCATGTTAAATATAGAATCTCCACAGCAAATGTGACTATCTGATTCAGATTCTTTCCTGATGTGGATAATCCCCATAATACTGTGTCACGATTTTTTTCTTGTTCCTGAAAAATAGCATTAACTATTGACATACTTACTGATGTGGAAATATACTTGGACCAGTTATAGAAAAGCAGTGTTACAGTTGTCATAAGTTAGCATAATGTAGGAAATTTCAATGTTCTAGATGGAAATTAATTTTATAAGTAAATGGGGAGCAGACTTCTGATTTTGGAACCTGCAAAATAGCAGATGTGGCTAAGGGATATAATACCCAATCTCTCAAATTGTCAAAAGCTGTGATTTTTTGACATAAGAACTTCAAAATCTAAAGACCCAAATTCAGACTAAATTATAATTTGAAGATACTGTATTCTAACTAAAACAGTTGAATAAGAAGTTTCTCAGACTCTTCCCCCTCCCCCCCACATGCTAGTGAAGAAAATTCATTCTACAGAATTGTTTTACCACAGTTCTGTCCCTGTTCTTTCATTGATCCTTTGGCCTTTTACCTTCCGTGTAAGCTTTGGTAATACAGATGCAAAAAATAACTTTGTCTAGTGGTGTTGGGAGACTCCTGTGTTTTATGTGATGTTAGTGGTTTCACATATGAAAGGTGTAATACTGTTCCATTCAGTCATGCTGTGCTTAAAGGAAAAAAAACTAAACCCAAGACAAACCAACAAAACCCACCCTGCTGTTTTTATTTACAGGACCTTTTGGGATAAATCATGGAATAGAGCTTCATTCAGATGTGGTAGAATATGCCAAGGAAAAGTTGGAGAGCTTCATAAAATACAGTGATAGTTTTGATAAGTAAGTATCTAATTTGTCTAGTTCACTTTGCAGCAGTGTTTTTGTTTGTAAACTGAGTGCCGTCATTGCTTGAGTTTAGGGAGGGGAGAAGAACAGCATCACACAACCAAAACATAAAACTTCCAATTTGTGAGACTAGTTGATGAGGTAAGTGCTTAAGAAAGCACTCTTTAGAAGTGTGGAGTATTTCTGCTGTGTAATAATTAACAAAATTGGTATGTGCACATTGGCACATGTATGTATGTGCATGTACATGGGTGTCTTTGCATGTATAGTGTTATTTTTATCCGTATGAGTTTTTATTATATAATTGTATATCATCTTTCTGTACAGAATAAGCTTTTTGTAATCTACCACTGTTGATGTAGACATGAGTGAATTTATCTGATTTGTATTCCTGTTTATTACCTGAAGAGATGGACTTAAGAGTATACATTTACTGTTACACATCATTCATTTTTACTGGTATACTTCTGGGTTACACGGCTTTGAACCTTACTAGTTCTACTTACTCAACAATTTTTTATTATTAGTCTGAAGCTGGCTGGTAAGAATCTGGATCTTGGGCCTCTCTGCCTCTGTGAAAGGAAAAGCAAGGGCTGTTCTCTGTAACACTTCTTTTCCTTACAGACAATAAGTTCTCCAACAGTGGTTATAAGGTAGCTTCTGGAAATGCATAAAAGCTATTGAATTGTAGGAGTAGCCTAAGAAATTGCATGTCCTATGCCTCTTCTCCTTCTCAGCAGGCAGCAGAGATGATTCTTTCTATCCCTTTACCTCTGATGTGCTTTGTGAACTGTCATGCTCTTGGTTATGTTGGCTGGAGCTCAGTCCACTTTTTCTGTACCCTAAACTTTGGGAGCTCTGGTCTGAACACAGGCCTTACTCCTTAATGCTCCTAAGTAACAGAAAAGTATCATCCTATTGTTATCTGTATCTGAATTAAATTCTGTACTTAGGGTGTCGGCAAGGTGATTTTAGTACTGTTTCCCCTATTAGAGTTTAATACATAACAAGCCACAATAAATAAAAATTAATTCAGTAAGGAGCTTTATGATGTACTTCATATAATCTGTCTTTAAAAATGTGTGTGAGATGTGGTCACTTATGATCATTAATAATAATGCATTGGTGGCTCTTTTAAGTTAGATCTGTTTGCCAGCTAATCAATTCCTGTATATACCTGTACTCCTGCATTTGTGTAAGTTTGTCTACCAGACATGCAAAAAGCTGATTTTGATTGAAATGTCTTTCTAATCCAGTGATACATTTATGTAGAGAAGTAGAAATTGAGTGAAGGGGTAGCAAGGAAATGTTACTATTGATTAAGCAAAATTTGATTAGGATATTCCTGTAAATGAGTATCAGAACACTGGGATTTGCACTTTAAAACATGCAAGAACTGAGGGGAAAAAAAACCAAACCCAAACAACCAAAGTTGCTGAACTTGGCATAAGTGAATGTCAGAGTTGCATGTATATGGTATTTGAAGAAGTGATCATACATAGTAAATTGATCTAAATACTCCTAAAGGACAGGTGGTATATTTTACTCTGATGTAGCAAAGATCAGCTCTGAGGACAGTGTTATAAATGCTCTTTGATATTTGCAAGGACAGTTAAATTGATCTTTAGTTATACAGTGCTATTCCAAAGAGGGGGCAAAAGTCAGCAGGTTGGTTAATATGATCTAAACTTCATTTGTCTGTTGTATCTTGGCATATGCTATTTAACAATCCACCTTTTTCTCACAGGAGCCAAATACTAAGCAATGGCTACAGAAGCACCCTTCTCACCAACCTAACAAAAATCATACTTCTGTGAAAGTGCTTTTTGATAGAAATCCACTTGGTAGTAGCTGCACTACAGCTGATGTGATACTAATTGTCTGGTTGAATTTTGGTTTTTTGGGGGAATTTGTAACTTGTCTGCACAGCTGATTCTGTCTAACTGCTTTCTTTGTAAATACTGTATTTTAATGTGGTTAATGAAGATGTGTGGGTTTTTCTGTAAGGGGGTCTTTGCATATTCTTTCTCTAATATAAGCAAATCATGTTTTCAGTTTTAATCTGCCTTTCAAAGTAATGTGCTTAGGGTCAGTATGTCTGGTTTTGATTCTTGTTTCAGTAACTTTTTCCTAAATCTTCATTTTAAGTAAAAAATATTTACCCCAAATTGTGTCGACTGTGGCATCTGAACTTAACTGCTGATTTGGTCAGCTTAGTTTTTGGACAAAAGACAACTCAAGGAAAAATGTGTGCACTGTCTGTCTGCTGTTGAATGCTGATGTATACCTAGCAGGTGTCCTTATTGTTTGAAAATAGATTTTATGTGGCAGACTGGTATGAATGAAGTTAACTGTCTAAATGGATGTGTGTGTGTGTGTGACGGGGGAAAAATATCTTAAACTTACAAGCAGCTTCTAATGAGGCATGTGGGGGACAGAAGGAGCACAGAGATCATGTGAAGGTTTTCTGGTAGTTAACAGAGTTAAGTGGATGGGGAATTCTGTAAAACTTTGTATTGCCACTTCCCAGTGCTCTTTGTTCAGTATATAATGTTCTTCAGTCTGGTCTGGATACTCTCAGCTGTCTCCTTTTGAAACAAACAACAGGTTTAACCTTATGGATATGTACTTGGCAAGCTTCAACCTAGATCCTAAATAAATATTTTGAAACTCTGTCGTGTTCCTTTGCTTGGTGCGGTAGGCCACTGGCTTTGCATCTCACTTTTGTGTGGAGCTGGGTCATGATGGTTTAGGTGGGGTTTTGCCTGGTAAAATGGAATCTTACTTTGATTCCCTTTTTATTAGGGAATAATCCAGTGTTGTGTGATATAATATAAAATTTTTCTTGATTCCTGTAAGAATGTTGTTGACATGTAATTAAAAACTCATTTTTCTGTGATTGGGGTAGGTGCTTAACCAAAGACTGGAAGCAGTGTAAAAATAGCATGTACAGAAGGATTTGAGACTCTCTCTGCTTAAAAGGAGGGTTGTCTGCCTCTGGTAGCGGGACGTCTCTCAGTTTTGGCCTCTTGAGCTGTTCATCGGAGGAAAGGTTTTTCAGATACCTGTTTCAGAAAGACAGATGATTCCAGTAATCACTTGTATCTGTATCCATATCCCACCAATCTATAAAAATAGTTATCCTCTAAATGGAGGTGGAGTTTTTCATTCTGAGACGTAAAATGCTGTCTTGAGTTTGCTTGACAACATATGTTTGCTAGTAGAAGCAAAGGAGAAGTTCCATCTGAAAATTGTCATAATTGAGGTGGACAGATTTTAGGTGTAGACTAAAAGTTATCTGAGTCTGAAATATGTGTAAGGCTCTCTTTGTTCTTAAAACCTTCAGGGAATGCATGCCAATTAAGGGGAAAAAGAATCATTCCTTAAGAAGGCGCTATCTGAAACACATATGTGCAAGTACCAGGCCCCGCTTCACCTGTTTATTGAAGGGGAATGTGTTGTCTTTTCTGCTCCCAGTCAACTTCTAGACCTAGAATATCCAGCTTGGAGAGAGAGCCACAGGGCAAGGCTAGGTTGCCCATCTTCTAGCACCCTATCAAAAACCAAACCTGGGTAAGCTGGTGAAGTCCCTGCTGTGAAAGAAAATCAACCCTTCTCAGGATCAAAAGAAACCACTTCAATGGTAAGTGACAAGAACCCTAGTACTACTTCCGGGATAACTGTTACGGGTGAAACTTCTTCCTGAAGTCCTGTAGTAGATTGTGGTGGCATTGAAAAATAGTAAGCTTGATCTTCCAACAGAGTATTTGTTTGTCTTCGTTGAAATTCAGGCCTCCTGCTAAGACTTTGAAGGCTAGCTTGATTTCCATTGAAGTGGATTTGAAAAAGAAAGTTCCTTGTATACACATAGAGCAAGTTTCTTCTTCCCTGTGCAGCTGGTTAGTGATTTCGGTGGAAATCTAAGGAGGAAAATCAAACTGTCTCCAAAATTCAGTGATGAGGGTTTTCATTTTAAATCTTAATGATAACTTAATTGCAAATAGTGTAAATTTTTGTGGTGGTGGGTTTTTTTGGTTGTTTCTTTTTTGTTTTTGTTTTTAACTGGTGAATGAATTCTTGCTGAGGTTTAGTCTTAACCAGAACAACACAGGGACTAAAAGAATGCCAGTGGGATTCTTTGATGCCAGAGATAATGTTAAACAAAAAAGGAAAGGAAGATAAGCTTCTGGAATATTCCTTCTTTAATTTGGAGACATTAGAAGTAATATTTCTAGTCCTATACCTTGTAAACCAGAAGGCTCAAAAAATGACAATTTAATCTACTCTTACCTAGGAAGGAACTAAACCTGCATTTTTAAAGCATTTGATAGTTGCAGAAATAAGTATTTTTGCCCCCTCAGAACCATACATAAAATGTATTTTAGAAATAAATAACATTGTGGAGACTGCCTTTCTTTGGAAACCTGTTACTTTTACAAGTTTTGGTAGTAGTATGAACATCTGTTAAATTAAAGCAAGTGAAGACAATGCTCAGTGCATGGTTCCTATAAAATCTGTTGCTTCACAAAACATTACAGTTTTGATCTATAAAAAACATTTTTTCTGCTTCAGGAAAAGAAGAAAGCAAATATTTCTCTGCTTATGTAAACAGATAAGTTGTTTTCCAGTCTTCTCTTCTATCCATGGATGTATTAGGGCCCTGACAATAAACTGAAGTGAGAATTTTTTTTTCTCATATCCCTATTCCAGTACACTTTAAACAGTATTCCTTCAGTACAATTCTTCATTTTACCACCATAGTACATAATGAAGTTTACACACTTAAACCAGTGTTGAAGGTTAAGTTTTAAGAACCAGTGTTTCAGTTTTTCTTCAGAAAAAATTAAGAGTAATGTGTTTGGTCCACTTGAGTGAAAGTGATGAGACTGTTAGAAATTATAAAAAAATATGAAGTTATATAATAGAAAACCAGTTTTATTCATAGGAACAACAATATAATAGAAGAAAATTTTATTTAAAAATGGAGATGACAC